CAGCCATTGGTCAAGACTTTAACTTTCTTTTAAAGGTTCATTTGTATGATACATTCATATGTATATATATTTTTTGGTTTTTGCCTAGTGAGTTTCAACAAAGTTTTCAAAAAGCCATTGGAATGTTAAATTAATGTAAAGGGAACAGCTTATCTAGACCAAAGAATGGTATTTTCACTTTTCTTTGTAACATTGAATGGTTTAAAGTCCTCAAAATCTCTGTTCTGCTAAACTTTTGATTCTTTAGCACAATTACTTATTTTTAAACACTGGCATTTTTTCCAAAACTTGTGGCAGCTAACTTTTCTAAAATTTCAAATGAATGCAATATGAGTAGAAGGAAGTCAGCAATATATGGGAGAGCACTTAGTTATCTTTACCAGACTTGGTGATAAGAGTTTCAGGATTATTGTATTTATTGTTCAAATGAAGATGGCTTTTGTACTTCTTGACAGACATGTAGTAATGTCTGTATTGGCTCATAAAACTTTAATCTGAGAAACAAACAGATGCTTTGGAAATGTTTCAGTTGCTTTAGAAACAATAGTGCCTGCCTGGATCCCCTTAGTTTGGAAATATTTGCCATTGTTGTTTAAATACCTATCACTGTGGTGAAGCTTGCATTGATCCTTTTCCACAAGTATTAAACTGCCAAGATGTGAATATGCAAAAGCCTTTTGGAATCTATAATAATGGTACTTCTACTGGGGAGAGTGTAATATTTTGGACTGCTGTTTTTCCATTAATGAGGAGAGCAACAGGCCCTGATTACAGTTCCAAAGTAATAAGATGTTAATTATAACTCAGCCAGAAAGTACATGTCTCCCATTGGGAGGATTTGGTGTAATAAATACTAAACTGCTAGCCTAGTATTATGGAGATGAACATGATGTAATTTGTAATAGCAGAATAGTTAATGAATGAAACTAGTTCTTATAACTTATGTTTATTTAAAAGTTTAGCCTGCCTTAAAACTAGAGATCAACTTTCTCAGCTATGAAAGCTGCTTCTAGCCTTTCAAAAAAGTTCATACTTTATAAAATTGCACAATAAGCATTTATTTTCCAGACCTTTTTTGAACATTATTCCCAAATTATAAAGTATTCCTATGTTGCTTTAATATTTATTACAATAAAAAGGGTTTGAAATATAGCTGTTCTTTAGGCATAAAATACCCAGCTAGGACCATTACTGCCAGACAAAATCATTGAATGGCCATTTCCCTACCTAAAAGATATCTCAATCTGAATTTATTTGGCTACACTAAAGAATGCAGTATATTTAGTTTTCCATTTGCATGATGTGTTTGTGCTATAGATGATATTTTAAATTGAAAAATTTGTTTTAAATTATTTTTACAGTGAAGACTGTTTTCAGCTTTTTATATTGTACATAGTCTTTTATGTAATCTACTGGCATATGTTTTGTAGACTGTTTAATGACTGGATATCTTCCTCCAACTTTTGAAATACAAAACCAGTGTTTTATACTTGTACACTGTTTTAAAGTCTATTAAAATTGTCATTTGACTTTTTTTCTGTTAATTTACATTGCTTTAAGGTTTAAAATTTTTATATCTTGCAGAATTTGTACAGCTTTGGGGATAGATGCTTTCTTCTCACCCTACATTTCTTCATTCAATTTAAAACATTAGTTTAACCAGACCAGTACTTGCAAACAAACTCTGATGCTGCTGATTGTAGCAGATGATGCATCACCAGTGTTTCAGAACTAATATTTCAACCATTCTAGACCATGGGCCTTAGCAGGTAAAACGTAGGGGAAGGTTGGCAGGAAGGCAGGGCCTAAGAAGCACTTGACAAAGTCATATGACAAAGGACCAGGACTTTGGTATTCAAAATACAATAGGAATGGTGGAAATGTAGTGAATTTAAGAATCTGCATGTTAGAAAAGCCAGATTAACTGAAAATCTGTTCTCTGGGTCCTAAATGTGGTCTGCAGTCTCACTTGGTATCAACTTTTTGAGGCTGATCTGAGAACCTACTTAGGCCATTAAAATTTTGAGATTAAAGTCCTATTGAAGTGGTCAGCAGTGTGCCGCTTACAATGTGTATGTAATGAATACAGCCTTAGCTGGTGGTTTCCTGTTCCTAGTTCTGTCTTCCTAGCAACTTTCCAGGTGGATTTACTTAAAACAAAACTCTTGCTCTGGTATATTCTGTGGATACACTAGAGAAATTACCTGTAAAATCTCATCCTTAGATGTTATAAAATGAAGGAACATTGACGTCATTCTCTATATGCACAAATTGGAGAAAGGAACTCAGTTCATACTCTCAAAGGAGGTATGTTCATTTAAGTGGTGAAACTGTGTACTTGGCAAGATTTAATTAAAGCCCTGCACTCAATACTATCCCTAAACCCCTTTGGTTAGTGCAGCATGTACTGTATTTCACAGATTATAATAGCATATGATTTTTTTTTCTCTGTGGTACATAAAATGATGGTGTACCTTCAGTCAGTGGTGTTTCACGTTATCTCTTATTTGAAACAAGTCTCAGCTCCTATACCCAGAGGGCAGTGTGTTTACATCAAAACCCCTCCCGTTAGAAATGAACAAAGATCTAAATAAACCATTGTTAAGCTTTCAGCTCAAGCTAAGATACTAAATAGAAATATGGAGAAAACAGTCTAATGACCTCTCCCCACTTTTGGAGTAGCTGTCAAATGGGATTGTTAAAATCACCCGAAAACTTTTTAAAAAGTATACATAGCTTGAGTCTCACTCTTAAAAATAGATTTAATTGGTGTAAGGTGGGGCTTATGCATAGTATTAAAAAGCACCCCCCAGGTGATTGAAAAGTATAGCCTGATTTGAGAAACAGGGTTAACATTCACTTCCTGGTGCTGGGCCTAAAGAGGTAGTTGTATTAAATAAGCAGGCTCTGTTCCCAATTTATCTCTAGAAGTATTTCACCAATTAGGAAGTTTGGGCTCATTAGCAAACACTGCCAGAGCAGGGAGCTGTCAAAATAGGGTGAATTCTTTAGGAAAGGAGAACAAAACTACCACAGGAGTTTGGGATGGCCAAAGTGCGGAAGAGGCTGGTAAGTTGGGGAAGAGAACAGAAACATATATCTTGCTCTGATTTCAGAGAGTCTACCCTATGCTCTATAGGGGAAGACTGCCCTGTGCATATTACACTTCAATTTAGGACTTTTGTTAAACTAAATGCAGTAAAATCTGTAAGGCTGGCCAAAATCCTGTTAGTAAAAATTGACCCTAACAAATGGTCCTTACGAGTGGGTTCTATGATAAGGCTAATTGCTGGGAGTCTAATTTAGGTCTCTCGGTTTTAAATACTGCATTCTGGTTTTATTCCAGTTGAATGTGTTGGTTCTACTGCCTTATAAATTAGCCTGATCAATGCCTATTGGCTAAGATTACTACTATAAATTAAGACAAGAGAGTTACAAACACACGATGTATTTGTCTCTTACAAATGGATGTGTGGAGGCCAAATATTTTCATAATTAGCCAATTCAAATCGTAGTCCCTACAATTTAGCAAACTCAGTATTTGCCTACTTGCTACTATGATCTGCAAGGCTCAAGAGATTGCCTTTTTAAAAAAAAATATGGCACTTTGAAACATCTTCAGTGGTATTTTAACTTTCTATTATGAATCTCCTTGCTGTTAATGCTACTGTATTAGTCTGCAGTAACTGAGGAAGAGTATGTTACCCAAATTAAGTATTGTGTGCTACCAGATGAGATGCTATGCCCTAGTTAAAATGTTTGCTGAACTCTGTATTAATCCAAAGTCCCTGCTATTTCACAGTCAGCTTCATAGCATACAAGGTTACTAATGAAAAAAGCATCTGACAAAAGTTTTTGAGTTGAATAACCACTACCCTCAAGGAATGGATGCACAGGGAAATGGTACAGTATCAGGTAAATGGAAGGATTATCATTGCGACTTTGAGAAAAATTACCTTAGGCAAGAATACTGTTCTAGTGCTTCTGCCTATGAAACAGACTGAGAGCTCACCAGTTTTTCTCAACAGGTCCACAATCCCTTATCCAAACCCTTGAGCTTATTTGCATTTTGGAATTACAGATTCAAAAAGAATTTTTTTAAAGCATATTATATGTAGTGTGCCCAATAGGGTCATAGTCCTATTTAGTGAATACCATAAATACCCTCAACAATTCAGATCAGGTTTTGCTGCAAAATGAGATGAGATTTTTTTTTAGGTTTTTTTTTTTTTTTTTTTTTTTTTTTTTTTTTTGTATTTTGGAATTGTACATGAGAGATTGTGGACCTCTATAAATTTATATGGGAACAAGCAACCCAAAATTTAAGAGATCTTCCCTAAGACATGCCCCTTTTTTGAAAAATTTCAAATCTTGTATGAGAACCATTGAATGTTTAAATATTAAACCAATCTTTATTATTTAAACAGTTTTCACGGCATTTTTAAAATTTTAAAAATAAATATTTGCATTAAAGCAGAAAGTCACATGTATTGCATCGACTCACTTTTACAGTTTAATGACACGAGATAAGTAAGCATCAGCACCATAAAACTGTTAAGATTTGTTTCTTTAAATTCAAAGAAATAGTTCTATACACTGAAAATTCTGGCTAAATAAATACTAACCTGCAGCATCAATAGTTTTGAAAGCTATAACCCAGTGACTGGTTCTCACAGTAGCCAATGTTTCTATCACTGGCAACTATAGACTCAAAGTTCTTCCATTACTAAATACTAATTAGCTTTCTGATAACTCCCCATCTATCAGCATCTCAGGATTCACAAAAGAGGAAAGAACTTAAAAGTTATTTGGTATAATACCCATCTGTAATTTAGGTCTGCACAAAGATATTTATTATAGCAAAAAAAGCAAGACTGTCTCCACCATGCTTTTTTTTGTTTGTTTGTTTTTTTTGCTTTTTACAGATTCTCAGAGTAAGATTTGAATCATAATTTTTAACCTTTAAAAGCTCAGATCAATTACAACCATAGAAACTGTACTGGTATCAGAACATAACTATTTTATTACAAAACTTAACATTATTTACAAAATGAAAAAATAATCAAATGACTATTGCAGGCCAAAGTTAAAGGTTTTCACCCAGTGATTGAAGAAAAGTTAAGCAACATTTCCATGCACTCACACACCAGATCATTTCTGAAATATGCAAACTCTTTAAAATTCACGTTAGTAAAACTTTAATGTATTCACAATACTTGTATGTTTATTAGAAGATGGCAAAAAAAAATCCATGGTTCTGTACAATAAGTTTAATATTAACAGTTTGTTCATTTTCCTTTAATATTTTTTGGCTTTCATGAACACTCATATCATTGAACATTCTGCAAGTAAGAATTATAATAGTACCTCTGTTACCTTGCTGAATTCATCACCACAAGAAAAACACAATAGTTTAATGCTTTTGCACTAAACTGAATAGTGATATTAACTCCAAAGTTATATTAAGCTGAAGCCTTCATTGTGATCAATGGCTTGGATCAATTTAGAGCGTAGAGTTTCTTTTTCTGTATATTTTGGAAGATCCAGAAGATTAAAACAGGTATGGGAAACTGGGAGATAGTCCTCACCACCTCCTGTTGACTGGATAACTAGTTTCAGACTCTTCATACCAAGAATAGGAATTCGATCACTACCTGTCAAAAATACTACCAAGAAAAAAATCATTCAGCCAACTACTTCAAAACAAGTAGCAAGTAGTATGTAGTACAGTCACTACAGCAGAGCTTTACATTAACATTTGCTCTAAGATGGAAGCCTACTTCCAGAATTTGTGAAAGACAAGATTTTTGAGACACATACTGATTACCCATATACATTTTTTCTTCAAAAGTATAATCTTAATATTTGACACAAAAAAAGTACCAAATAAATGTTTGATGAATGAATGGCTATTGCCACTGCCAAAAACATTCTGAAAGCCCTTTGGGAAAAGCCATTTAGAACTAGTTAATAAACTGAATACAAAATGAGTTTTGACTATGACTCCTTTTCCTATTTGTTTTGTTTCTGTAATTTTTTATCAAAAATTTATAATGGGCAGCCAAAATTCAAATCACTCTCAGAGAATGATTTGTCATCCTTATGATATAGAAAAGAATTTAACCCAAGATTCTCAAAAAAGACTGCCAAAATATTCTGGGCAATAGCTAAATAAAGTATCAAAGGAAAGGTTACTAATATTTATATACATAAATTCCGACAACTTTAAAAATAGGTCAAATTTCATTTAGAATACACATAAAAGACACAGATATGTGTGTTATAAATGAAGGAACTAAGGACTGGCAAAGTTCTATTTTCTACAGCAATTCTGAAAATTTTGGTGCTAAGGCAAAGAAGAAAAGAAACACTGAACACAGAAAAGAGCTATCAGTTTGCCCTCCATATCTGTGGGTATGGATGAATTCAAGCAACCACAAATTAAAAATATTTTTTAAAAAAAGATAGTTTGTACTGAATATATACACCTTTTTCTTCTTATCCCCTGAACAATCCAAATATAACAACTATTTACATAGTATTTACATTGTATTAGACACAGTCACTCATTGCATAACTATGGGGATACATTCTAAGTAATGCATCATCAGGCGAATTCATAGTTCATCATAGAGTGTACATGAACAAACGTAGATAGTATAGCCTACACCTAAATTGTATGGCATAGCCTATTTAGGCTACAAACCTGTACAGTATGTTACTATACTGAATACTGTAAGCAACTGTAACACAATGATAAGTATTGGTGCATCTAAACATAGAAAAGGTACAGTAAAAATCTGGTATAATCTTATGAGACCACTGTCATATGTGGTCTCTCTCGTTGAAACATTATGTGGCATGTGACTGTAATCTAGAGATTATACAGGTTGTATGAAAATATTACACCATTTTATAAAAGGGACTTGAGCATCTGTGGATTCTGGTATCCTTAGGGATCCTGGAACCAATTTCCCATATATAGATACCAAGGGATAACTGTATTCCAGAGATCTTTTCAGAAATCTAGAAGGAATTCTACAATCCTAATTTATTATAACTATAGCTTATTTTAACTATAACATATTTTAATAATCTTTTATTTACAAGAACTAATGTTTTGGAGGCAAGCTAAATTTAGCCTTCAAATTAAGAAAACACATGTAATTAAGAATACAGATTAGATCTTATTTTCCCCCTAAATTATCCTACTCAAACATTTAAAAAGGACCTTGGAATAATACTATGATTACATTCCAGTCTTATATTAAAATATGGAACCAGTTAAAAATACTTACACAAAAATTGTTTTTTCTTTTCCAATGGTAATTCGTGAAATACTTCCCAAAAAATTTTTATCGTAGGATGTTCTGCCCAATATTCCCCTTTGTATTCTGTATTCTAAAAACAACATAAACTTTTATTAATATTAAGGGATATTAGTTTTGTTTTGAATCTTGAATCTGGCAATTGACACATAGAGTTAACATGGTCCAAGCCCCACGTAAGGCTGGGGAACCTATGGCCTCAAGGCCATGTGGCCCTCTAGATTCCCAAATGCAGCCCTTCGACCTAATCCGAAATTCACAAAACAAATCCCTTTATTAAAAGGATTTGTTCTGTAAAATTTGGTTTCAGTCAAAAGACCATACTCAAGGATCCGAAAGGCCATATGTGGCCCCAAGGCTGCCTGCAGGTTCCCCACCCAGGGTTGAAACTCGTGGCAGTCAGTTTCCAAGATAGATGGCCTTCAGAGTTGTCTCCTGATATTCACACCCTTGTATAGTCCCCTCCCTGACACTAACGGGGTATGACTTGTGTAATCATTAGGATATTGCAAATATGAGGCATATATGACTTCTGAGTTAAATCACAAAAAACAACTCTGTGGCTTCACTCTGAGAGGAACCAGTTGCCATCTCATGAAAACACTCAAAATGCCCTAGAGAGAGACCTACTCAAGGTTCTGAGGCCTCCTGTCAACAGCCATGTGAATAAGCCATGTTGGAAATGAATCTCTATCCTTACTTAAGTAAGCCTTTAGATCAGGGGTCCTCAAACTTTTTTAACCGGGCCAGTTCACTGTCCCTCAAACCATTGGAGGGCCATTGGAGAGTGCGGCACACATTCCACACATGCGCACTGTGGGCCCGGGATGAGTTAGCTGCTAAGCAGGACAGGCAGCTGCGGCAAAAACACCGGATGGGCCCGACAAATGTCCTCAGCAGGCTGCATGTGGCCCTCGGGCCATAGTTTGAGGACGCCTGCTTTAGATAACTGTAGCACCAACCAATATCTTGACTGCAACCTCACAAGAGATCCCTAAGCCCAAACTACCCAAGAATGTCATGTAAATGGAACCATAAGTATGCAATCCTTTGAGACTGTTTTCCTTCACGCAGCATATGGCCTTCGCAATTGATCCAGTTGTGGCATGTATCAATAGTGTATTCCTTTTTAAAGCCCAGTAGTATTCTAGTGAGTCAATATTCCATAGCTGCTTTATCCATTCATCCACTGAAGGATACGTAGGTTGTTTCCAGTTTTTTAATTGTTTTCAGGTTTTTTAAAAAGTAAGCTTTTTTTTTTTTGAGACAGAGTCTTACTCAGTTGCCCTGGGCTAGAGTACTGTGGTGTCAGCCTAGCTCACAGCAACCTCAAACTCCTGGGCTCAAGCAATCCTTCTGCCTGAGTAGCTGGGACTACAGGTATGCACCCCCACGCCTGGCTAATTTTTTCTATATATATTTTTAGTTGGCCAATTTCTATTTTATAGTAGAGATGGAATCTCGCTCTTGCTCAGGCTGGTTTCAAACTCCTGACCTTGAGCAATCCACCGCCTTGGCCTCCCAGAGTGCTGGGATTACAGGCATGAGCCACCACGCCTGGCCTAAAAAAATAAGCTTTAAAAAATTGTAGTAAAATACACAAACCATAAGGTTTATCTTAACCATTTTTAAGTACAAACTTCAGCAGTGGCATTAAGTACATTCATGATGTTGTGCAACCATCCCACCAACCAGCTCCAAAACTCCTTTCATCTCTATAGCCATTAAACAATAACCCCCTATTTCTCCCTTTATTTACAGATTTTTGTGTGAACATAATTTAATGCCCAAGAGTAGGACTGCTAGGTCATACAGCAAATGTTTAACTATATAACTGCCAAACTGTTTCTAAAGTAGCTATAGCATTTTATCTTCCCACCAGCAATATATGAAAGTTCCAGATGGTTTGCACTGTATTTTGTAGGTCAGTCATCCTAATAGGGGCATAGTATCTAACTAATCATTAATGCAAAAAATATATCAGAGGATGCTAGATTACAAGGATGGAATGGACAGGACAACCCTCCATATAACTTTCTCAAAGCTGATCTAAACTAGCACTTTTTATTAAATGTTTACCTGAAGAAATATTTGAGAATTACTTAGATGAGAAGAAGGAAAAGTTTCTCCAAAAATTCCCAATCTTCTCCCTAAAGTTCCCTTTATTGGTTAAGGTATCAGTAATGAAGCCCATGAGCATTATGTATTTATTCTCTGCTAAAAAATTTAACATTGAGACTAATCATGAAAAAAAGGAAACAAAGATCTTAGGCATTGCAAATGCTTCTCATAATGGTTTTCCTAGGACTGAGGCAGAATGAAATCTCACTCAGCCTTGGTTGGGGCTTTTCTATCCAGCCTGTGTTACAGACATATTTCTATCAATACCACCAGTACCACCAACTACAGAAGTGCTATCTCTAATTCATACACAGTTCAAATCTATTCATTGTGGAATAAGAAGGGTTGAGTGTTTTCCTAAGACAGCAAAAATTGTATAAAATGAAAAATGATACATTAGAAGGGTAAGATTTCCACCAACAAGCCATGTTCTATGTTCTGTTGCCTTTCTATTTAAACAATGCCATAGATTTGTTTTTCCCTACCTTTTCCAGTTCCTTCCAATCATAATTTGTATTTCCAATAACCATTGCTTGTAGTTCATTAGGCTGGAAGAGCAGAAGGACTTTTCCTCCACAGACCTTATGAAAGCCCGCATGAAAAGCATCAAATAAGGAAGCCACTGATTTATTGAATATATAATCCACATAAGCATCAACAAACTCCTGCCTAGAAATGAAAAGCACACATGCACATATTATAAAAAGCATCTATAGCGAATACATAATATAACGTTATTACAACTTTCAGTGCTCCTGTACTTTTTGCTATTTTTCTACAAAACTGAGTATGAGCAGGGTTCAAAGAGGGCAGAGTCATTATGGAAAAGCCTATTATTCTTTCTATATAAAAGTCAGGTATATCCATGAGGCATTTAGTTATTATTCTTAGGCTACTGCTAAGAGAAAAAATGTCATTTCCTAATGGGCAGAATAATACAAATGACTATCAAAATAATTTGAGGGGGGCAGACGGGGATGGGTATATACATACATAATGAGTGCATTGCGTACCATCTGGGGGACGGACACGCTAGAAGCTCTGACTGGAAGGGGGGGAAGGGCAATATACGAAACCTTAACATTTGTACCCCCATAATATGCTGAAATAAAAAAAATAATTTAAAAATATTTTCAAGTTATTAAGAATTTACATACATCACTGCACATACACTCTTAAAAAGAATGATCTGTTACAAATATTAGGTGATAAAAAATGAGAGCTTTGGAATTCAGACTCTAATCTTTTTTTCTCCTTTTCACTCCAAGGAATCTAAACAAAATTTATTTCACAAAAATAAATACCTAAGAGGGGGTTTTATCTGCATTCTTTTAGAGTAATCATTACAGATTACAAGTGGAGCTGCTTTCCAAATGTACGTGTGTTTACACACACAAACCCTTCTGACTCTCTTCTACCTCTTATGATACAAAAGGAAACTGTAAAGATAAAAAGGAAAACCCCTTTAACTCAGGAATCAGAACCTCCATTTCATTCAATTTGTTTTGTTTTGCTAGCCACAAACATTTCTATGATGCTATCTGGTCAAACAAATAAGAATAGATATTAGAGGACTTCAATATTTTATTTTATTTTATTATTTTATTTTATTATTTTTTTTGAGACAGAGTCTCACTTTGTTGCCCAGGCTAGAGTGAGTGCTGCGGCGTCAGCCCAGCTCACAGCAACCTCAAACTCCTGGGCTCAAGCGATCCTGCTGCCTCCGCCTCCCGAGTAGCTGGGACTACAGGCATTTGCCACCATGCCCAGCTAATTTTTTTGTATATATATTGGTTGGCCAGTTAATTTCTTTCTATTTATAGTAGAGACGGGGTCTCGCTCTTGCTCAGGTTGGTTTCGAACTCCTGAACTCAAACGATCTGCCCGCCTCGGCCTCCCAGAGAGCTAGGATTACAGTCGTGAGCCACCGCGCCCGGCCGAGGACTTCAATATTTTATATCTTTGTCTTCCAAATAATAAAAGATGCTGCTGCATATGGGAATAATAGCAAATTTATTGAAGCACAAATAATCTTCTTAGCAAGTTAAAAAATAATTCCAAACTGAATTTACAAGGAGGAGAAAAAGGTTAAAGGAGGCCATGTAAAATAAAGTTGGTGGGCTTAAGGAAAAACTGACAGCATATGCTACTGAGTTCTCATGAGAAAAAGAATAATTTTGTAATATATAATTTTATAATTCATCTAATTAGAAAGTTACATTCATCTATACTAGTTAAGTCCTTTAAACACAAAAGGCTAGATCATTTTATGTGCCAACATATTTTTTCAAAATTCTTTATTTCTCAGCAGAAAAAATCTAAATCATAAAGTGTTTTAACACCAAGCTTTTTTTTTTTTTTTAAAAAACGGACAGCTGAAAGGACCTAAAATTGTTTCACATCATTTGAAAAACAGCTTTGTTTTTATCAAGGTAAGACATACGCACAGTTAAAACATCAAATAGTAATAATCCTAATAGCCAACATTTACTGAGCACATACATGTGCTAGGTCCTATTCTAAGTATCTTAAAATTTTGGCCTCACCTAATCCTCACAATGACCCCATGAAGTAAGTACAACTTATTGTTCCACTTTACAGAAAAGGAGACTGAAGTATGGAGACATCAACTAATTTACTTAAAGTTACACAGCTTCTCAGTAGCAGAATTGGGATTATAATCACTTGGAGAAAGTTCCCAGCAATAGCCACTAAGCTAACTTTGTTTAAAGGACTAAAACAAAATAGAAGAGAACAACATAGCTCTCTGTCCTGCACTTCTCCAACAGAAATTCCTGCTATTCAAAGGCAACTATTTGTTAACTCTTTTTGCTATTCCTTCCGATATTTACCTTTAAGCTTCTGATAGCATAGTTCCATTGTTATTCCTTGATTTTCAATTTTAAATATTATCTAATGAACTGAATACCTATGATGAAAGGTAAGGATTTACCTTTTATTTAATTGTCCCACTCACGCTCTTCCCTCCCCATTAAATTTAGACAACAATATCTGGTTTAATATTAACATTTCTATACATATAAATATTATTCACAGTTAAGCTGTATTCTATGGTTACCTTTCTTTTCTTTAAAAGAACTGTTTTCCTTAGCTTGCTACTTCAACATCATCCCCAACTTTTCTAAAAAATACCAATTTCCTCTAGATTCATTCAAATATATTAAGTAGCATCAGCTGCATATTTCTCCTGGAGCCCTCTAACCTCTTAATCTAACCTAGATTCCTAGATTGTTAGCTTTCTAAATCTTTTACACAGTTATTGTTCCTCTAGAAAGAATCCTCTTTGCCTCTATCCTATATTGGATCCTGTTTTTTTGATTCCTTGATTTAGTAGACAGAACACATCCTCCTGAAGTTTCTGAGACTGTGCATGTTTGTTTTTAATACATGTTAAAAACAATGTTTTTATACACCCACATACTTGATATTAATAATTTGGATATGAAATTCTAAGTTTCTCCCAGAATTTTGATGTTCTAGCTTCTGTTGTTCTTCACTTGCTTGATCTTAGCCAAAAAGCCAAGGAACAATCCAGTGTTGTTCTTCATAAATCTGATGTTATTCTTTGTATATGGTCTGCTTTTTTTCTTGGATGGCTTTAGGGCTCCTTTTTCTTTGAAGATTTTGAAATTTCATGTATTTTGTCTTGGTATGTCTTTTTTTACACTTCCTATGTTTTCAATCCTAAAAGGATGTCATTCAGTGCTGAGAAATGTTTTTGTACCATTTTCTTTGACAAATTTCATTCATCTCATGTCTTTCAATTAATTTTTTAAAATGGTTAATATTAATAGTATTCATCTGGATGTTCACTCATCATTTTGAGGGCACACTGATTTCAGTTTCTTTTGAAAGTTTTGTCCTTCATCCTGCATGACTCCTATTTTCTTGCCATTCTTTTTGACTATTCTGGTCTTTCTTTAAATGTCTATTGTCCTTTGGCTATCCATTCTCATTTAAAAGTTAGGCAGTTTCCCCAGAAAAGGATCCTCCAATATGTAAGCATCAAGGAGGAGGGAGCTGTAGACTTTCATCATGTAATCTCCCTATTTTCAGTTCAGTTCCTTGCCATTCTGTTCCTAGCATTTACCCAAACCCCATGTACTTTGATAAAGGTATATTCTATATTCAGCACTTGAACCTTTGTTCTGCAGTATGAACTGGCTGGCTTCTTGGCTCCTTCAGCCCATCTTATATTGCAGCTTTCTCTAGTTTGCTAAAGTTAGTTATCACTGTTTTTTGGCTTCCAAAAATATCTTTGCTGTTGTCTCCTCTCCCTTCTCCTTATTCTTTTGTTTAATGTTTTAAAGGGATTTTAGGAACAAAAGGCAGATTACTTCCTCACTAATGATTCAAAATGTATCTTTATCTGAGTGAAAACTTAGGGTTGTAACAGGTTTTCTAAATACAGAAGAAAATGCCTATTGATTTCTTATTACTCCACTGATGCTACTATAATTCACTTACCGATTTTGTTTGTTAACAGCTGTGTCTGCACCATTTAGAACCAGCTCTTTCACTTCTGTTGCACCAAAGTTTTCAACTGTGATCTATTAATTTAAATTTTTAAAAAAAGTCAATGTCAGACTCAAAAACTTATTAGAGTATTTTAATAATCTACTATTATATTCTACCTTTTCTCTCATTTAATATAAAAACTAATAAATTTGAGATAAAATTCTGCTACCATAGCTTATTTGTGAATTCTGCTTAAGGCCAGAACTATGAATTTTTAACCTCTCTAGTAGTGTGAAATCCTACCATGACTAACTAATTATAAATTACCAAGTGTTTGGTTAATTAAGAACAGGAAACTGACTATTGTACATAAAACTTGAGAATGATTACTGTAGGAGTAAAATATTAGAAAGGATGTTTTCCTTAGATAAGACATAGAATCTAAGGATCAGAATGCAAACTCAGCTTAAAACAACTGCATTTTCCCCATATGACAACTGTCACTCCTGTATTCCTCTGCCTATTGTATGCTTGATCACAGGCTGTTTTTCCAATTATGCATTAATTTGGTTTACAAAGAGTTATTTTGAAATATTTTATTTCTCTTACTGGTCTGGCAATTTTTCTACAAATATTACCAATCCCATCTCTGCATCATATTCCTTCTTTTTGCAATAGTATCCCCTTTCATTAAAATCTGATATCTATAAAACACTATAATAGGAGTGGGATAAGAGATGAATACATCCCTGCTCTAAAGTTTTCTATTTAGTAAAGGAGGAGAAATGTGGTTACATAAGCAACCCATTATAATACAAATAAATGTTATCAGACCATAAGAAGAAAGAAAATTTAATTCTAACTATAGGAGGTATGAAAGACCTTAAGGACGAAGAAATGCCATTTGAAAAGCATGTAGTAGTATGGGTAGAATTCTGAAAGACTGGGAGAGGTGTAAAGTGATTTCAAACTTAGCACATCAATTGAACAAAAGGATAGATATGAGAGTAAATATTAAATTCTGAAAATGTATGGCAAGTGGCTCTATAAAAGAAGAAGGTAAGATATATGAAAAAATACTGTGTGATATAACAAAATTTGGTTTGAATGGATACAATGGAAGTTAGAAAGAAAGCCATATTATAAATGTCTTTGATGCCCGTTCTAAAGCTATTACTCTACAAACAATAAAGAGCCACTGAAAATCTATTAAGAAATGAGGCAAACTGTGTGACAGCAGAATATGCTATCTTTTATCAGCATTGATAACAAAACCATGAAGAGGACTATACTGCGGGGTGAACAAACAAATATACAAATAAAAAATTTTAAAAACAAAAAGAAAACTGAAGGTTTTACAATTTTCCCAACATTCAGATTGTTCCCTTCTGAAGTGCCTCATCATAATCACTGTTTATTTTTTTCTTCTTTAACTGTTGACTAGTCTATTTCTGTCAGATCCTCATTTGTCGATGGCTTTGTATGTGACTAGATCACTTATTCAACATCCCTTCCACTGATTTAGCAAAATTGTGCATCTTTTATAAGATCTGCAATTTCATTTTCAAATTAATACTTGTATTATAATTTGTCATCCAACAGTGAGGGAGACAAGTTAAACAAAGATGAATGTTACTATGAAGCAGGAAGGGATGTATATAAGTGGGAATTAATCTTTTCAGTGGTAAGTTCAGTAGTGATATTAATAGTAAAACATTACAAAAATCTTTTTGTTTTATTTCTCTTTTTCTTTTTATTAAGTTTTTTATTTCTTTCTTATTTCAGAGTAGCAGCAAAGGAAATATAACCTTTTGCTTCTCTAAGAATTCTTGTAATTGCAGATTCAAAAACACTTAGATAAAGAGGATCTCTTGTATTTGTAAATATCTTAAGCATAATAATAAAGCATATAGGCTTTGAAGTCACAGAGCTAGATATGAATACTGATTCTGAAGATAATGATTGTTTTTAGTTTTCTTCAACTGTAAAGTAAGGATGATACTAACCTCATAGGACTGTTCAGGATTAAATGAAATAATGCATGTATCATGACTAGCTACCACATAGTAAATGCTCAATAAATGTTAGCTAAAGGGTTAAGAATTTCATCCATAAAACAGAGAAAAACTATAAGGACAGCTATTAAATAACAGGGATGACGAATAATTAGGCTAACCTATGTGTTTCCATCTTACCGTAAAATTAAGACAAAATGTTTCCTCTATATCATCTTCTGGATAATCCAGTAATTGTTGCATGCTTCTGCAAAACAATATATATGTTTCTTTGAGGTAAAACATTATTGGGTATTTTGACTATTTTGCTTATGAATAGGTAGGTATTTCTTATTCCCCTTAGATAAGGGAATTGCTTATAAGCAATTGCTTCGTATTCCCTTCCACAGTCTGGAACCCACAGTGTTAAAAAATGCCCCACTTGATCCTGAGACAGGTGGTCCTCTGCCATGGCCCTGGCCCCTAGGTTAGTACTCTTTGCATGACACCCCATCGTTGCTATCCCTATTATTATTGGGCTTCTGAGAATGCCCACAAGTGTACCTAGGGTTCTATAAATAAGACTGTCATTGTATTCCTTACCTCACTAGGTCTTTCACTAATTTGTACTTTTACATTTGTTTCAAAATAGTGAATGTACAATGGCAAACTTACAAACACTGAAGAAGAAAAAAAACAGTCTAAGGTTTTTATCTTTCTCTGAATATAAATGCCATGTATCCCCCTATTGTCAACATTTGTCCTTATTTATATATAATTTTTATTCCATGTTATGTAATAAATAAAAAGAAACTTTACATACTGAAATTAGGAATGACAGTGATCAGAAGTAAAAAATCCAAATAAATCACTTAACCACTCTTAGGAAACATGACCTTCCTAAATTTATTATCTGAGATTTGCCAAGTATTGTTAAATAAAAATCTAGCTTTGAAGACTAAAAATGTAGTCTTTTAGCAGAAAATTTTGGTCTGAGTAACATAACAGATTTTCCTTTATTAGAAGGGCATTTGTTTATTTCAGAAATTTTTTTTAAAATTTTTAAATTACAAAATTTTAAGAACCCAAGGCTGGACTTAAATGTCTGAACTCAGACAATCCTTCTGCCTCAGCCTTTGTAGTGAATGGGACTGTAGGCCCATTTCAGAAATTTAATAGGAACAACAAAATGTAATTATTCCTAGAAGGAAAGCTTTCTGTACGTTCCTGATTTCTTATCTTCCAAACCCTATCCTTGATACTTTTGACAACTAACCTCCCAACATCAGGCATTAGTTCTTTCAAATCATCCAAGGATGGCTTCTTTTTCAGTAGTTTCTTATATAAAGCCAAAGGAAAATGGAGGTCCACAATAGTAAAATTATAAATTGCTAATCCACAAATAACTCCAATCAAATGGAATAAATCACTGTCTTCAAATGTCTGAAAATATAAGGAAGAAAAAGTAAAGACATGTCCTCCAAATTAAAAACATTAATTTTTTTCAGATTATAAAGCATGCTCACAGGACAAAATTTTGAAGATAGAGAAAAAAGTAATGAATAACAAAAACATTCATGCTCATTACAATCTCCCTGAGATTACATTACTGTTAGTATTTTTGCACATTTCCATCTAATGTGTTTTCTAAGACTTAAAAAAAATTAGAACCTATCTGACATCATACTATACAAATGATTTTACAACTATTTTCCAGAAATATAAGCATATCCATGTCATTCATTAAATTAATAGGTGAACTGATTACTATAATTTTTCTGATTTAAAAAGTAATACACATTTAAAATTTGGGAAATAAAATCATGAAAAACAGTGAATAAACAACTATAAACCAATCACTCAGAAACAATGACTTAAAAATATTTTTGTGTACTTCCATCTACAGTAAGTTTAGAAAAATAATTTTAAAGATACTATACTTAATCTCATTTGTACTATACTTTATCTCATTTGTTTAATTTTCTTACGTTATTGTTTCTAGAACATGATTTTTAATGGCTGGTATGATGATCTGCTAAATTACCTACTTAACTGTAGCTGGATATTTGGATTATTTAAACACCAAACACAATGTTTATTTTTTCCCCCATCTTTATTTTTTTATTTTATTTATTTATTTTTTTTACAGCCATGGGATAGGATGCATTTCCCCCATCTTTAGAGAAGTAACATATAGTCACAGAAAATTGTATGAGCATGATGATTAAGTGAATAATTTTTTATTAGACCTGGGTTCCAGACCTCATTTATCAGTCACTATCTAGCCTCAGAGTTTTAAAAGAAGTTAAATATAGTATTTATCTCACACAGTTGTGAGAATTACATGGGATAACATATGTAAAATGCTTTTAGCATAGTTCCTGAAGCACATAGTAAAGGCTCAATAAATGTCAGTTATTCTAAGTAAGATGGGCAATATTCAAAGTAAGATGGGCATCTTTTTTGCATATTTTGGTCCATAGTTTGAATTTTTTCTTTAGGGGAAATTCTGCTTTCTAAGAATTCCTAAGTCAAAAGATAGTTAAACATACTGCTTACTTGTTTTCTTCTACACCTGTTCCAGTTTAAACTGCCATTTGCACAATAGGAAAATGTACCTCTCTCTATATTTTCATCTATGTATACACACTATACACACATAAACACACATTTTTGTCTTGAGTTTAAAAATGACAATTTCATTTAGTATACATTTTTGACTACTATTAATAATACAGGCCGGGCGCGGTGGCTCACGCCTGTAATCCTAGCTCTCTGGGAGGCCGAGGTGGGCGGATTGCTCAAGGTCAGGAGTTCAAAACCAGCCTGAGCAAGAGCGAGACCCCGTCTCCACTATAAATAGAAAGAAATTAATTGGCCAACTGATATGTATATAAAAAAAAAAAATTAGCCGGGCGTGGTGGCGCATGCCTGTAGTCCCAGCTACTTGGGAGGCTGAGGCAGAAGGATCGCTCCAGCCCAGGAGTTTGAGGTTGCTGTGAGTGAGGCTGACGCCATGGCACTCACTCTAGCCTGGACAACAAAGCGAGACTCTGTCTCAAAAAAAAAAAAAAAAAAAATAATACGAAAAGTCAGAGATTTGTGTGTGCTTATGAAAATATCTCTTCATTTATTTGGCCTACTTTATCTTTTGGGGGATACTGCTTTTCTTATATATTTGTATTCAAATTTATAAGGAACATCAGCCTATGTCATATTTGTTACATATATCCCAGTCTGCTATATGCTTTTTAATTTTATGTTTGTTTCCATGCATAAATTTCACAGTTGTCAGTGGTCAAATTAATCTTTCTCTGTTGTTATCTACATTGTGTTTAAGTTTAGAAAATCCTTCTTACATAGGGGAGAATGAATAATGTGTTGAACTCTCTCCCTTCTAAAACCCTCTAAATAAGAATAAAGGATAAAAGTGGTATACGAGAGGGTTAAAAGCACTAAAGAGATGTTAACATTTCAAAATCTAATATGTAGGTGGATGGCTGGTAACTGATTTGGTAAAGCAGAAAAAAATGAAACAGTAATTTATAGCTAATTTGTACTTTAGGCCCAGGAATTGGAACTACCAATACTTGTAAAGTCAGAATTAGCTTAGCTGATAAACATGAAGACTTTGAAAGTCAGAGGTATTAGAGTAGGGTTGAAAACAGGATGCTTCGTGGAAAGTCACTGGCATTTCTTTTCTTTTTTTTTTTTTTTTTAAGAGACAGGGTCCTGCTGTGTTTACCCAGGTTGGAGTGCAGTGGAGATAGATCATTAGTTCACTGTAACCTCAAACTCCTGAGCTGAAGTGATACTCCTGCTTTAGCCTCCCAAAGTGCTGGGTCATAGGCATGAGCCACCATGTCCAGCCAAGTATTTTGCATTTCTACAGAGGGTGAACCAAAGAGGTTCTGGGACCTGAGACAGCTGGTGGTAAGGCTGCTACACTGAAAACAAAGAGATCAAATGAAGGTCTGTACAGTGAACCATGAGAATCCTAGTTTCTCTTTCCATAGTTCAGAATACTATCAAAACACAGACAACCAGGGTTATAACCTTTCTTGAAAACCCAAAGGAAAACCAATATATGCTGGCATTTGAGGATTCTTCCTATGAATGGGGCTTGTAAATCAATTAATGCATACACCTATGCACATAAAGTATCTAGGTAGCTTTTCAGTGCCACACTTTTACAATGTGCATAAACAGCCAATGATCGTAAGGAAAAGACAAACGAAACAAAAAAGAAACCAAGGAGTAAGAGGTACTATGAGAAACATATAAACAAATTTTTAAAGTACGGGGGAAGAACAATAATCACTTTCTCCCCAAAATACAAAGGTGACGTCACTGAAAATGGCAAATAGGGAACTCCAAAACCCCTCCACAAAACAAATTAAGATTGCAAAAACTGTCAGAACGCTTTTGTAACTCTAAAAACTTACAACAACTAGGATTATGCTTAATGAAGAAGCTGCTAGATTTTAATAAGAGCGCACTGTGATATTTTAACTTACCCACTTACCATGTCCCCTCCCCAAACCTACATTTCTGGTGCAAGTTTCTGGCAACAGGGGGAGCAATATGAACTTTATTCTAAAAGGATTGTGGTTATGTCTTTTGATCTGTCTGTAGGTAACTTCCTGATATCAGCTCAAGGGCTTTCCTTTGTTTTGCCTGCCTGAGTACCCCCAGGCCTTAAACAATTTCCTAGGTGAGTAACACTTGTCAAAAATATTTAAAAGCAAATGTTTTGGGTTATTAAGTATGAAGTGTCTGATTTCCTTAAGTATTAAGTTTGACAGTTGACATCTCTGACATTTCACTTTGACACCTGTCATTTTATTTTTATTGTGAAGGTACATCCTCAGTCTTTCAAACGCATGTTTTGGCTTGTGATTATCTTTCAAATTTTTTTAGAGTAATTTTTGTGACCCTGGATAAGTCAAAAATTCGTGTTAGCACAGCACATCAGTGGTTTGAGAAGTTCCATTCTGGTGATTTTAATCTTGAAAATGTGCCATGTGGGTGACCTGAGACTAAGGTGGATAATGATGCTCTGAAAGCTGTTGTGGAAGCAAATCCATCTCAACCTATGTGTGAATTAGCAGCAAGGTTTGACATTGCTATTCCAACAATATTGGACCATTGGAAACAAATGGGCAAGGTAAAGAAGCTGGATGGATGGGTTTCACATGAATTAAACGAGCATCAGAAGAGAAATCGTCTCAAAGCTTGCCTTTCTTTGCTGTCAAGGACATAAATGTGAACCATTTCTACACTGCATTGTTACATATGATGAAAATGAATTTTTTTTTGACAATTGCAAGCATTAAGCACAATGGCTGGACAAAGATGAAGTGTCAAAACACAGTCTAAAACAGAATATTCATCCAAAAAAGCTAATGGTGTCTGTTTAGTGGTCCAGTGCCAGTATTATCCATTAAAGCTTCATGAAACCTGGTCAATCGATTACAGTGGATGTCTACTGCAACCAACTGGATGAAATGATGAGGATGCTTATGATTAATTAGCCAAGACTGGTCAACAGAGACAGGCCATTCCTCTTGCAAGACAATGTTCAACCACATACTACACAAACAATGCTGCTCAAACTGCAGAAGCTGGACTTGGAAACTCTGTCATCTACTGTATTCACCAGACCTTGAGCAAACTGACTACTGTTTCTTCCAGGCTTTCGACCACTTCTTGCAGGAAAAATATTCAATTCTCAATAAGCTGCGGAAAACGCTTTTCATGATTTCATTGCCATTTGTTCTCCAGGCTTCCTCACTGCTGGCATAAACAAGCTATCATTAAGATGGTAAAACTGTGTCCACAGTTTAGGTGCATACTTTGATTAATTGTACTGCTTCCTATTTGAGATACAATAAACTACACTTTTGATTCAAAATCAGATATTTCATATTTAAAGACCTAATATTAGGCCGGGCGCTGTGGCTCACGCCTGTAATCCTAGCTCTTGGGAGGCCGAGGCGGGCGGATTGCTCAAGGTCAGGAGTTCAAAACCAGCCTGAGCAAGAGCGAGACCCCGTCTCTACTATAAATAGAAAGAAATTAATTGGCCAACTGATATATATATAAAAAAAAATTAGCCGGGCATGGTGGCGCATGCCTGTAGTCCCAGCTACTCGGGAGGCTGAGACAGAAGGATCACTCGAGCCCAGGAGTTTGAGGTTGCTGTGAGCTAGGCTGACGCCACGGCACTCACTCTAGCCTGTGCAACAAAGCGAGACTCTGTCTCAAAAAAAAAAAAAAAAAAAGACCTAATATTAGCCATGGCCACTAGAGGCAAGGAATAACAGCTGGGGCAAGCAACAGACAGACTGAATGCCTAGGAAGGAAGAGCCTGGGGAAGGAGATAGTTGGTGGAATAAGGGCTTTGAAAAGCTCCTGTATATAGCAAGGAATCTAGTAGATCAGGTGCACACCCAGAGCTGGACGCATGCTCAGACAAGACCAGAGAAAACCCTAAGCTCTTACCTTTGGCTGATATTTAGACACTGCATAAGCAGGAAATGTAGGCTAAATGAGACATGTATGTATACAGCTAAGGTTTGAAGGAGTAGCCAAGACAGAGCCAATCTGCAAAACCTGGGAGAGTGTGTTTTTCTTCCTGTTTTTTTGGTTCACGGTATTTAAGGTATCCACTAAGCTAACAGAACACACGACCCAAAAGTGATCTACAGAGCAAATGCAATCCTTATTAAAATACCATCATCATTTTTCAGATATAGAAAAAATAATTTTACGCTTTGTATGGAACCAGAGAAGACCTCGTATAGCAAAATCAATCCTGGCAATAAAAACAGAACAGGTGGTATCAATTTACCAGATTTCAAACTATACTACAAGGCTATAGTAATTAAAACAGCTCTACACTGGCACAAAAACAGGGACACACCAGTGGAACAGAACAGAGAATCCAGATATAAAACCATCCTCATATAGCCAACTAATCTTCGACAAAGCAGACAAAAACATACACCGGGGAAAAGAAACCTTATTCAATAAATGGTGCTGGGAAAACTGGATAGCCACATGTAGAATACTGAAACAGGACACACACCTTTCACCTCTCACAAAAATCAACTCATGCTGGGTAACAGACTTAAACCTTAGGTGTAAAACTATTAGAATTCTAGAGGAAAACGTTGGAAATACTCTTCTAGACATTGGCCTAGGCAAAGAATTTATGAAGAAGAACCCAAAGGCATTCACAGCAGCAACAAAAATAAATAAATGGGACCTGATCAAATTAAAAAGCTTCTGCACAGCCAAAGAAACTGTCAAGAGAGCAAACAGACAACCCACAGAATGGGAGAAAATTTTCACAAGCTACACATCCGATAAAGGGCTGATAACTAGAATCTATTTAGAACTCAGGAAAATCAGCAAGAAAAAAATCAAACAACCCTATCAAAAAATGGGCAAAGGACATGAACAGAAACTTCTCGAAAGAAGACAGAATAAATGGCCAACAAACATATGAAAAAATGTTCAACATCTCTAATCATCAGGGAAATGCAAATCAAAACCACAATGAGATATCACTTAACTCCAGTGAGAATGGCCTTTATCAAAAAGTTCCCAAACAATAAATGTGGATATGGAGAGATAGGAACACTCCTACACTGCTGGTAGGACTGCAAACTAGTTCAACCTCTGTGGAAAGCAATATGGAGATACCTTAAGCAATACAAGTAGATCTACCATTTGATCCAGCAATTCCACTACTGGGCATCCTACCCAAAAGATCAAAAGTGACTTTACAAAAAAGACACCTGCATTCGAATGTTTATAGCAGCACAATTCACAATTGCAAAGTTGTGGAAACAACCCAAGTGCCCATCAATTCATGAGTGGATTAATAAAATGTGGCATATGTATACCATGGAGTACTATTCAGCTTTAACAAACAATGGTGATATAGCACCTCTTGTATTTTCCTTGATAGAGCTAGAACCCATTCTACTAAGTGAAGTATCTCAAGAATGGAAAAACAAGCACCACATGTATTCACCAGCAAATTGGTATTAATGGATCAACACCTAAGTGGATATATAGGAAAAACATTTATCAGGTGCCAGGTGGGTGGGAGGGGGGAGGAGGGAATGGGTATATACAAACATAATGAGTGAAATGTGCAACGTTTTGGGGATGGTCATGCTTGAAGCTCTGACTAAAGGAGGGGGCATGGGCAATATATGTAACCTTTACATTTGTACCTCCATAATATGCTGAAATAAAAAAAAAAAGAAAGAAAGAAAAGGAAAAGAAAAAAAAAAGAAACAAAAAATCCTTTCTGACATCAACTGCACTACTAAGGAATCAAACACTGTGGGAAAATTTCTCTATTTGGAAGTATCCCAGCTACCATGTTTCCCCGAAAATAAGACAGGGTCTTAATAATTTATTTTTCCTCAAGAAGATACCCTAGGGCTTATTTTTGAGGGATGTGTTACTCTCCCCTCAAAGCCTCAGCTTGCAGCACACACAGGATGGCTGAGACCTGACGAGGGAGCTGACTTTGTTGGTGGGGCTGCTGGCACCTTTTCTGGTCACCTCTGGAATAGTAGCTATTACAATGGGGCAGATGATTAGGGCTGCTCGTCTTCTTTACCACTCCGCAACAAAATGCATGGGTTGTGCAGAAACACTGCACAGCTGCGCCCATCACTAGGTCTTATTTTCCAGGTAAGGCTTATATTGCACAAATGCTTAGAAATCCTGCGAGTGCTTATTTTATGGGTAGGTCTTATTTTTGGGGAAACACAGTAATAAATGAAAAAGAAATATTAGAATTAGAGTGGCATCATTTTGCAACCCCTAATGAATTAATAGCTCTAGGCACTGAGCATCAACAGTGGCTAACATCACATAAGACCGCCAGCCTGACTGAAGGATTAAATAGTACATCAAGGTTTTTATAACCAATACGTAGATATTCTATTCAAATTTCTTTCAGCTCAGAGCTCTACAAATGGAACCATTCATTTCACTTATAGTCTCTAAATCAGGGGTCAGGAAACTTTTTCTGTAAAGGGCCAGACAGTAAATATTTTAGGCTTTATTGGCCATGAGATCTCTGTTGTAACTACTCAATTCTGCCTCTACTGTTGTAGCCCAAAAGCCATCCTGGTCAATAGGTAAATGAGTAGGCATGACTTTATCTACAAAAACATGTGGTGGGAAGAATTTGGCTAATGGACTAAAGTTTGCCCTGACCTAAATGATAAGGTAGAGAGATCAATGATACCTAATAATAAGTGAATTTTCCCCAGAAGAAAAGTTAATCTGGCAATTATTATTCAATCCCCAAATTGAAATCAGCAGAAGGAATAGTCAACATTGTTAATTTGAAATGCACGGTAAACATTAATGTATTTTGATGACTCCAAGTCTGAAAATTTGTAATTTTTAAAATTGTAATAAAGCAGATCTCTGAACAAAATATGGCAGGAATCCAGTAATAACTCTTATTTACTGAGTTAACTTGGCACATATAGGTATACATACATAGATATATAGACAGAAGTAACTCAGACAGTTGGACATTTACCTGATCAGAAAACCAAATGAGCCTGGAATCTTCATAATACCTGAACATGCCATATTTAGGATCCAATAATTCCCTCATGATGAGCAAGAAAAATTCTTTGCGTACCCCTCCTGCATCAACAGCATCTTCTCCAACAAATATAACCTACGATAGCATAATACAAACACTGAGTAGACTGGAAAAAAATCAAAGTACATTCTGAAGACCCTACAGCATGTTATTTCTTACATATAAATGCTCAACAATCATTAAAAAAATACATAATTGTATTTATTAAATTTCAAAGATTCACTCACTAAAAACAAATATGAAAACTTGAAACACAGCTTCTGAATAAATGCCCCAATTATAAAACAGAAAATGTCAAATTACCTTGAGTGGCTTTTTATAATCTATGTTCTTTGTTTTCCTAAGGACTTCCATTGCATCTCCTACAATATTTTCTCTACGCACCACTAGAATTAAGCAGGGATTCACAGATTCAATCACTGGGAGAAAAAGAGAGGAGACGTTCTGTCTGTGGGCCTGGTCAATGGCCATCTAGAAAACAAAAGATTAAAATTTTAATAGCAATGCTACAAAAAAGCTATTGTGACTGGATAAGCTAATGTCTACCTATTATTTATAGGTATGCAATAATTCCCATAGTAATTCCTATCTATGCCACTGAATTCATACAACACCTAACAGTATTTAGTACAGCATAAAAATTAAACTGAACATGAAGAGTATCTTTTTAAATTTTTTGTATTAATGTATAACTCATTACACCATTAAGTAAGCATAGAACTATAATAATAATGGTAAACCTGAGAATGTTTTTCTCTAAAAAACAATAACTGGAGAGTAGGGACAGAGAGTGAGGAGGAAAAAAAAACAGCATAAAAGAAACCTTTAAAGAGAACTAGCACAACCTAAGTAAGTACTACAGAAATCCATCTAGTAGGGTGATCACCACATGTGTTCACAAACCAAGCATATGGCTTTTATCATTTAAAGCATTTGTTCTTTTCCTATGGTTTTTCCTGGGTTCTTGTTCTAAAATGGAATATCCCATATTAAAAGCACCCAAGTTATTAACTTACCATTTTAACAAAGACCTCCAAAAAACTGGTTTACTAGCTATTAGCATAAAAACCTACAAAAATATTTATTTCTGTTTATGAAAATGGAAATAAGTTCATCTCTAAAACTCCTCCTAGTATTTATTAAAATATGTGGAGGGATTTAGAATACTACATGCATTTACTTGAACAGAATGAAAAAGATTATTCAGATTTAGGGTTTTTAAATTTTAAAAAGTATTTTTAGAATATTAAACATTCAAAGTCTCTTTTCATCCTTTCCTTGTATCCTGTATAGTGAGATATTCTATACCAGAGGAGGAAGCTCAAAATCTTTTTTATTTACAGGCTTAAATGATAAAGCAAACTTACTATAATTCTTCAAAGTCATAATATGAACTAGTTTATAAAAAATGAAAGAACGTTCAAAATAAAATGGAATGGGGAGGGGCAGGGAGATAGAAAGGGGAAAAGAAAGAGGAGTAGGAGGTAATGATGAGCAACCTCAGGAAAATAGATTACTAAAACTTTCTTCCAAGAAAATTTTACATCCTCTTGGCCGGGCGCGGTGGCTCACGCCTGTAATCCTAGCACCCTGGGAGGCTGAGGCGGGCAGATTATTCGAGGTCAGGAGTTCGAAACCAGCCTGAGCAAGAGCGAGACCCCCGTCTCTACTATAAATAGAAAAAAATTAATTGGCCAACTAATAAGAAATTAGCCGGGCATGGTGGCACATGTCTGTAGTCCCAGCTACTAGGGAGGCTGAAGCAGCAGGATTGCTTGAGCCCAGGAGTTTGAGGTTGCTGTGAGCTAGGCCAACGCCATGGCACTCACTCTAGCCTGGGCAACAAAGTGAGACCCTGTCTCAAAAAAAAAAAAAAATTTTACATCCTCTTAAGTGATCGAATGCTTCCTACTTTAACATCATCTCATTAGTGACCTTCCACCTTTTATCAAGTATATAAATACATAATGAAGCAAGATTTTAAAATAAACCAATATTTTATCAAGCAAACTAGTAAAACTATTTATAAAGATTGCATATTTCTGTAATGAAAAAGGATTATACCATTTTTTAAGATACAAAATGATTAAGGTCTAAATTATTCTATTTTCATTGCAGCACTTTTTTATTAGCAGCCCTCCTAAGAATATACATGGCACATGTGGCAGGCTTCTTTGTAGCTACCCAAGGTCCTTTGAGTACCTTGATTAATGATTATAGGCAAATTTCAAATATTTACTTTCTAAAAACATCATAGAAACAATTTTTAAAAAACCCACTCAAATCAGATTGGTATTATACAATATTTTACCTGCATCTGTAAGACTGCATCCGTTTGTAACAGAGTAGTTTTTGCTTGGGCATCAAATACAAATGGATATGTGCAAATTGTAACAGGGATATCTGCCAACTGGAAATAAAAAATTAACTTATTAGTACAAATTGATTTGTGATAAACTCATTGTGGGTGCTGTGATTTCTTGTAAAGTTGATCAGATTCTTAGTTTACTCACTCATGTGTGGTTAAGGCATCATAAATAAAACAGGTTGCTTATTTCTGAATATAGAATATTTTATTAATAATTAGTTGAGGCTTTGGAATAAAGCCAATTCCCAATTTTAGGAGGAAGCTGTATACTTGAGAGTCCATAAAATTATAAATTACAAGTATCTTTTGCTGAGCATACATTAACTCCAAGTTTCAGCAAATGAGGTTGCAAATTTATTCTAAAATTAGGGGCTTCTATGTTAAATACAGTATCCACTTCCCACATGTTAGGGCTACTCTAGCCCTAACATCTGAGGCCAGCAACTGAGACCAGTTATAAGTAATCTGCCTATTCCTTAAGCTAACAAATATTTACTGAATGTCATGTCATTAGGGTACCAAAATTATGAGTCCAACAATCTGTTCATTCACTTAACATACAAAAAAGCAGGATTAGTATTATTATTCTGTTAGCCCTTAAAGTTAAGAGAATTAATCTATTATTACCATTATCAGAAACAATTATCTATCCTAGCAGGTAATGCAGTGATTGATTGCTAATTATTTTAACAGTGCAGTAAAATACAAAGACTTATCCATTGTCAGTCATAACTTTCTTGCAGTTGGAGGAAGATCTACTCCTATCATCTAAACAAGAAGGCAATACTTTTGTGCCTGCCCTGACACAGAGCTGCTGCTATAAGGTTTCAGTGAAGCAGTAATACACCATAAACAATCCTCTTCTTATGAAGTGTTCAATAAGTTCTTTATATTAAGTCCAAATCTGCATTTCTATATATCACTATACATTGTTTAGTCTTTGTTTTGCTCCTGTAGGGAAGTGTATGTGACTGAAATATTTTAAGTTCTAATCATTCTCTCCCTAAATTGTCTTTTTTCCACACTAAACATTCCTAGTGTTTCTAGCCATTCTGAAAATAATATGGTTTCTAGGTCTTTTCCATCCTGCCTTCTCTTGAATATATTTCAATTTATCTAAGTCTCTCTTATCTATAGCCACCCAAACCAAATTAATCTAATATTGCCCAAACTCTATCAAATCTTTGTTCTCAACATATCAGACAATATGCGAGTTATATGCACCTTATAGTAAATTATCACTCTTCAAAATTTTCCATGTGACAAAGTTTACATCTTCATCCTGTATTAGTGGCAAAATCTAGCTATTTTTCTTTCTTTATTTATTTTTTTAGACAGAGTCTCACTCTGTTGCCAGGGCTAGAGTGCCATGGCGTCAGCCTAGCTCATGGCAACCTCAAACTCCTGGGCTCAAGCGATCCTTCTGCCTCAGCCTCCCAAGTAGCTGGGATTATACCCAGCTAATTTTTTCTATATTTTTTCAGTTGGCGAACTAATTTCTTTCTATTTTTTTAGTAGAGACAGGTTCTTGCTCTTGCTCAGGCTGGTCTCGAACTTCTGACTTTGAGCAATCCTCCTGCTTCGGCCTCCCAGGGTGCTAGGATTGTGTGAGCCACCACGCCTGGCCAAAACCTAGCTATTGATCATAGAAAGTCAGTTTACTTCTCTGAAACTCAAGAATATTTGGGTATTCCTAAAGTGCTTCTTTGGCTCCAAAACACCATGTTTTCACAATTTTACTTCTATCTGAGAATGAGGAAGTGAACAATATTGGACCTATAATTTAAAGCTAACTCAAAATGTCTTATTGATTTAAGTGCTGGGAAAAGCATATCAAAAACAAGCAAAAAGCAAAACTGGACATCTCTAACAGATAAAAGAAGTATTATAATGTTCCCAATTGTTAAAAGGGCAGTTTAGGATAGTTTAATACATAAGCCAAAGTGCTAGAACTTTATATGTTAGGATAGCATATGAGACAAAGTGAGAACGATCATAATGAAAGAGTTTAATTTTGTAACCATTCTGATTGTGAGTTAGTTTAAAAAAATTTTACTTCTCATTTTACTTCTCTAATATAAAATGTTTTCTGCCTTATTAGGTAGGCATTTATCAAATTTTAAAGTAAAAGTTTGCTTTTTTATATTCTGAGGACACATTACATTTTATACTGGAAGATTTGAGGAGGATAGGAACTGTTCTAAAGCAAATATTGTTGAAAGGCATATAGGTGTAATGTTAACTAAAATAGGCTTTACTTTTCTTCAGAAAATTCTTCTGAAATGTTAGAACGGGATAATTTCTATAGACTCGATTTTAAGAATGATATATATATACACACACACACACATATTAAAATCATACAAAAAAGGAAACTTTGGCTCTCCCATCACTTAGGACAAAACAGGGTATATCTTACTCTGAACATGAGACTTTATTACACCAAACTTACCTCAGTTAATCCATGGTTGACATCCTAAGACAGCAATGCAGAATATAACAATAATGAGGAAAGAGCAATGTTAGTGTCCAAATTTAACTCTTTCTATTCAAAGTAGCATTTTATATATGTTGCTACAGCAGAATATTGAATTAATGAGGTAGAAAATACATCTACAACAAAACTTACCCTTTCCACATGCATCTCATATATCTATATCTACATCTTTGTTTCAGTACCCTGTGACCATAAAATTATCGAGGCTTGAACATAATGAAAGTTGGTTTCAGCAACTAAGCACTCCATTTGTAAAACTTAGGCAGAATAGGGAAACTAATTCTAAGCCTGACTTGGTCTTGAAGAAGTAATTTTATGGCTTAGTTTCTCTACCTGGAAAATGGAGAAAACACTCCTCAGAAGACTTGGTTAATCTTAACAAAATATTTGAAAGTGTTAAGTAGATTAAATCGCTATATGGAAACAAACTGAGAAAAAATAAGCCATAAATTGTTTTTGACAGAAAAAAACACAGTAAAACATAAGATATCTTACATTAAACATTCTTTAAAACTGAATTAACATAAAATAGAAAGTATAGGACAAGACACAGGAGTTGGTAAGTAGAAAGAAGAAATGAAGAGAGAAAGATGTACTTATGAAGGAAATAATAGTGGAAATTATAATGTAAGCGTACCACTTTAATGAACAGAAATATGCAATTTCTTATGGAAGACTGCCACATATGCTCAGAGTACAAACTCATGTAAAGCACTAGAAATACGTTACTATTATAAATTTGTGGATGATGCCTTGTGTAGTGAGGAATGAATTTTATCCAAAGAGAGAACACTGCCCTTGACTACTGGGAGGTGAACTATGCCTGACAGACAGAGTGTCTTTGTTTGCCTGAGGGCTTTAGCCACTGGACAATCTAACAATGTGATTTATGATGGGGGCTTGGGCCATGTGGTATCAGTTCTGCTTCCAGAAGAGCCGGGGACTAAAGGTCAGCCACATGAGCAGGATGTATCTGAGCATAAAAACTCTGAGCACCAGGGTTTAGGTAAGCTTCCTTGGCTAGCAAAACCCTCTGAGTAAGGTCACTCATTGATGCTGAGAAAGTGAATCATCCATGACTCCATGTGGAAAGGACAACAGAAGCTCTGCCTTTGGTAGCTTTACTAGACTCTACCCTATGTACTTTTTCCCTTGCCTGATTTTAACCTGTATCCTTCTCCTGTAATAACTTGCAATCATCAGTGTAATAGTTTTCAGTGAGTTCTGGGAGGCCTTGTAGCAAATTATAAACCCTGAAGGTAGTTTGGGGAACCTCCCAAACTTGCAATTGGTATTAGAAGTGAGGGCAGTCTTATGTGGACTATTCTCTCTAATTTTGTAGTTGACTAAGTTGTCACATGCCATGAGGATGATTACTGGAGGCTTTAAGACATAAACAAAGACTTAGGGTTCTCTCACTATATTGTGTTAAATAAAGCCAAGCAGTATAAGCATAAGCAAAACATGACTCTATGCAAATCCTATTCTGAGAAAGAAAATTATTTATAATAGTTTCAACAAATTCAGAATACCAAGTTATTACTATGTAAGTGTTGCTATTGGCAGTGTTAACAAGATCTTTAGAGACTTTTCTGCAAAAAAGATGTTTTATATCATACTCAGTTTAAATGGAAGGCAAGTTAAAAGGAACATATGAAATCCTTTTACAGTATATCTTGTGGGACTTTTTATAAAAAAAAAGAACTTTATTATTTTAGAGCACTTTTAGGTTCAAAATTGGAAGGAAGGTACAAATTTCCCAAATAACATAAATATATATATATTTTATATATATATGTGCATAGCCTCCCACATTATCAACATCCCTCTTGTAATCGACACTTAAAAAGTGTTATTACTACTAAGGAAGTTTAAATAAGCAAAGAAACACCTATCAAAATGTATCTATGGCCTGTTTGATAACTACACTAGATATCATGGGAGTTTATATTATTATAGGAGACAGATGTTATCCCTGGGTAAATAGTGGAACATTAATATATATGCACTATCTTTTTTATTACTACATGTAATTAGATATAGGTGCTATGGATATCATTATCCACTGAGGAGGTCAATAAGACAGTGTTAAAATTTATAGTGTAACTAAACCATACTAAAGAAGAATATGATTTGGTTATACCAAAAATTTGACTGTGGAGAGATGTGAACTGTCAGGAACATGAAAATAATAGGTCATAAAAAACTTGAGAAAAGAAGAGACTATTAGACATTAGGTAAAATGGTTTATCTAGGGGAGAAGCATCAAAGGGAAAACCAGATTAAATTCATTATTAGAAATTTCAGCTTAAGGACTGAGGTTTGTAGACAAAGGCTCACACATTTAAAAAAGTAAATGCTTTTAAAAGCAAGAATAGGCCGGGCACGGTGGCTCACGCCTGTAATCCTAGCACTCTGGGAGGCTGAGGCGGGCGGACTGCTCGATGTCAGGAGTTCCAAACCAGCCTGAGCAAGAGCGAGACCCCGTCTCTACTATAAATAGAAAGAAATCAATTGGCCAACTAATATATATAGAAAAAAATAATTAGCCGGGCATGGTGGCGCATGCCTGTAGTCCCAGCTACTCGGGAGGCTGAGGCAGGAGGATTGCTTGAGCCCAGGAGATTGAGGTTGCTGTGAGCCAGGCTGATGCCACGGCACTCACTCTAGCCTGGGCAACAGAGTGAGACTCTGCCTCAAAAAAAAAACAAACACAAGAATAAATTTTTCTGGGAAATATTAAGAGTTGCAAGGTAGCTCAAATTAAATTACTCAAAGTAGTAGTTTCAAGAGAAATTTAAAAGGAAAACAAAGTGGTGTGGAGGGTGGGGACAAGATAACAAAGACATGTGAGATCAATGGAAGGTCTACTGCTAAAAATTCAACATACCACTCAATGTGTGAGTGAGCTACTATTGGCTCCAAATCCATACTGTTAAGCACAAACTGCTGGCTGTTTTTAAGGAAGATGTGGAGAGCCTGAAATTGGGTTAAGCCATACCTAATTTACTCAATGTCATAGTTACTCAAGGTCCTAGAAGCTAAAGTAACAAAGGCCTAAATGAATATTCAAAAGTCAGAGTTTCAAGGTCTAAATCAGACTTCACTAGGCTTTTTTAACACCAATGGTTAATGAGTTTTTAAAGACAAAAAGGATGTAGTACCTTGGCACCTTTTAGTTTCAACTGATTACTCATGGCAAAACACTAAACCACTACTGGTGTCATGCTGATTTAAGGGCATAACATAGGTTTACTCTGAGATGACATAAAGAAAAGATACTGAAGTTATTGAAGTAATTCAAATAAATAGGAAGGGTCTTAGCTAAGACAGAAATAAAAAGATACTTCTAAAATTAAAGAGATGAAAATACACAAATATAATTTGGTAATTCAAGGCATAAGGAAAGAAAATGACAATATGATCGGTCTAAGAATCTGAAGACTGGATCCCTATAAAATACTAATGCAAAATGATCCCTATAAAATACTAATGCAAAAATGACAAGGTAGCTTTAAAAAGCAAGGATGAACTGGGAAATGTTAGAGCTGCAAGGGACTTTCAGTCAACTTCTTTATTAAGTGAGAAAGAAACCCAACCTAAGGAAGTTAAATACTGATATATTTTTCCAAAGCTGGATCACCCAGCTGTTATACCAGTTTGTCTTCCTATTTTGCTAGTGAACATGCAATGTTGCTAGCTCAGCACCTGCCCACAGATAATGTACAACAACTTAATGCCACAGAACTAATATGGTGATGCTTTATACATGCTATACAATATTAAATAAGATGTATGACATAAATATATAATTATCAAACAGTATAAAATTTTCACCAATTTATCGCAGTATATTTATTAGTACTTACTTATACATGTATAATAATTAAAAACATAAGAAAGGGAAGAAAAAAGAGGAAAGAATTTGGTAGTAACCACAAGGGTATTTTAATAAACAATTTAAGAGAAAAGTTAAAGGAGGGTAAGGAAATGTACAACTGAGAACAATACCTAGAAAGTGAAGACAAATGATAAAATAGCAGAAGATAAAAGAGAGAGAAAGAGAGAGAGACAAAATGCACATGCTTTTTTATTTTGCCAAGAGATCACAGCAGAGGGAGAAAGAGATAAAAAGCAAAGGAATCCAAATGGAACAATAGTTTTACACATCAAGATCAGAGTCTTGGGAAAAAACACAGATTATATAGTAACTAGTAGGAGTAAGAAAATCAAGGAAAGTCTTCTGTAGTCCCAGCTACTTGGGAGGCTGAGACAGAAGGACTGCTTGAGCCCAGGAGTTTGAGGTTGCTGTGAGTTAGGCTGAAGCCATGGCACTCTAGCCCCGGCAACAAAGTGAGACTCTGTCTCAAAAAAAAGAATATTACAGGGAGGGTTTGAGGAGGTGAGGGGCAAAAACTCACCTAATGGGTACGATGAATACTATTCGGGTGATGGGTACACTAAAATCCCTGACTTAAGCATTATAAATGGTATCCATGTAACAAAAACATTTGCACCCCTTTAATATTTTGCAATTAAAAAAATGAAAAAACAGGATATTACAAGGAAAGCCAATAATATCACAGAATTAGTTATTAGAGTTTAGGGATCAGAGAAGTGTATACCTGACGAATGCTTAAAATCCTTGACTGAGAAAGAAAGGTAATAGAGGAAAAAACCCCAACGGACTATGGCATAAAGACAAAATAATTTTCTTGCAGTGTTTAGAACAAGGTAAAGTTATTAGATATAAATTCTAAGTCAAAGCACATCTGACAGAGTTCTCAGTCATACAGTCAGATAGTACTCCTAGAACAATGCTTCTCAAACTGGGCTAGGAGATTCCCAGAGGAATCTTATATTCTTAGGAGGTCTGTAAGTGCTGTGGGAGAGTTTTAAATTTAGTGTTTAATATCAATACTTTTAAAAATTGATTTAAAAAAGTTAAAATTAGGAAAATCCATTTATAATCCCAATAT